CATAAAACTCAACAATGAAACACGTTTGGCGCAGAGTACAGTCACGTGATGAAAGTTTACACCCTGATTGGTTGTCATCCAACAGAAAGTGGCACATCAGTATAACTGGCAGTTATACTATGCCCAGTAGTAGTAGCGTGTTTACCGTCATGACTCAGCGCTGACATACTGCATGACAAGCATGTATAAATCAAAGTTTGGGTTGATTCAAGGATACTCGTGTGAAAACTTGTGGCAAGACTCCATGTTTCAGTTATACTATGCCCAGTAGTAGTAGCGTGTTTACCGTCATGACTCAGCGCTGACATACTGCATGACAAGCATGTATAAATCAAAGTTTGGGTTGATTCAAGGATACTCGTGTGAAAACTTGTGGCAAGACTCCATGTTTCAGTTATACTATGCCCAGTAGTAGTAGTAGAGTGTTTACCGTCATGACTCAGCGCTGACATACTGCATGACAAGCATGTATAAATCAAACTTTGGATACTCGTGTGAAAACTTGTGGCAAGACTCCATGTTTCAGTTATACTATGCCCAGTAGTAGTAGCGTGTTTACCGTCATGACTCAGCGCTGACATACTGCATGACAAGCATGTATAAATCAAACTTTGGATACTCGTGTGAAAACTTGTGGCAAGACTCCGTGTTTCAGTAGAATCTCTATTCAAGAATGTGAAAAGGGTGCTCGAAACTGTTACCGTTAATAATAGAAGTGGTCGAGGTAAAAAACAAAATTCTCCAAAATTGATGTTATGTTTCTTGGGGTATGATTTTGGATGAGACAGATGACGGTCGAGTACAGATGTTGCCAGTCGCCTTGCTATAAATACTGGTGAAACTTTTACCTAGAGAACATCAAGGTGAAGCAGTATCAATGCCTGTGTAGCTGCTCGTAAACCACAGCTGAGAAAATCTGGAACTTGTGCCAGTTACAGATCAATCCTCTTTCAAAATTTTCAATAACAACCGACGACAATTTATTCGACGGTACAGAGGAGAATGGTATCAAAGTCAACGTACAACGTCTGAAATGAAGCATTTTGGGGGATTAGTGTAAGCTTAAAACTGCATCTCGGCCAGCGGTGTCGGCGATCTACACAGAATTGATGGTACCTTGACTGCTGACAAGTACAGCAGATTCTGATCCATTATTCTATTCTCTCAGGAAAACAACTCACCTTTCAGCAAGACAATGATATCAAGAATACAGCATCTGATGCAAGCTATTTTTTCAGGAAAACAACTCACCTTTCAGCAAGACAATGATATCAAGAATACAGCATCTGATGCAATCTATTCTCTCAGAAAAACAACTCACCTTTCAGCAAGACAATGATATCAAGAATACAGCATCTGATGCAATGCGTGCAGTCATCGCTTAGTTTGTACAAAGTTCCTATGAATAATCGTAAGGCTATATGGGTTTATGGTAAAAATGGGATTGTAAAAAACGACCATACACATACTGGTTGATTTGTATGGAATAATACAGAACACTTAGAATAACATTTCACAATTGCACATGTATGGGAGCATGAAAACAAGGTATGATAATCTGTATAAAGCAAAGAATTCACAAGTAAAATACAACTTAATCGCTTTTATCTTGTGTTTCCTGTGACAACCTTTTGTACAGTTGAACATACATATTCATTTAACTGCATAATTGAACTATTGTTGGATTTTCTGCAAAAACAAACTATTACTAATTTTACATGGGAAAATACTCAACAGATGATGCAAGCAATTTATAATGTGCTGTTAAGAACATCTTGCTTTGAATATATGACAAAGTGTGAGGGCTCATACCGCCCAAACCCCGGTTTCAATACCCGTGGTGGGCACAATACAGATATCCCATTGTGTAACTTTGTGCTTAACAAGGAACAAAAATCAACATTTTTTTTCAGGAGAGAGATTTTGAATATTTTAATGGATTTATAATAATATTTTATTTCAAGGGACGTATGGATATTTTAATTGGTTTATTTTCTTTAAGTTCAGAATAAAGTAATGGGAGGTTTGCAGCTTACGTGTTTCTGCGCTAGTCTGGTTCTGACAGTAGCAAGTATTCTTCCTCCAAACTGTCCTGATAAAGAAGATCTAAAACCCTGTACTTGCGACTATGAAGGTATTAACTGTTTCCACGTGGTCGATTCTAACGACTTGAAGAGGGCGATGCAAACAAATCCCTCTGATCCTCGACTCCGATCATTCTGGCTGACGGGAACAGAGCTTACTGAAATAAAGGCTTACACTTTTCAGAAGTATTCCATCGTACAAATGTTTTTGGACTTTAATCGTCTGAATAAGCTGGAGGATAACGCGTTTGTAGGTGGTTCAGAATCCACCTTAGTCTACCTAGGACTCTCTAACAATGAATTTACAAGTTATCCAATGAACGCTTTGAGAATACTGAAAGCACTAATATCCGTAAACTTTGAAAATAACAAAATCACCAAAGTACCAAATTTTGCCTTTAAATCTTCAAAAGACTTGGTTGAAGTTAATTTAGCCAATAATGTCATCAGTCATGTTGGGAAAATGGCCTTTGTTAATCTACGAAAACTACGTAAAGTGGATCTATCCAATAATCAACTGGTGTCAGTTGGTATTTTAATTTTCCCCAACACCAACATAGTTTACTACAAGGATTCCCGAGATGCTGCCGAACCTGACGCGAGCAACACGGAAGTTGTCATCGAGCTTCAAGGTGGGTAGGCCTTTCCATCGATCAGTTCGGAGTTTGAGAACTGATTTAGGAAAGTTTTTATTATTAAGAAGTAAAACAATTTGCATAGTTCAGAGAATGGTTAAGTTCCTTGAATAATGATGAACTGTTGAAGTATAAAGTTATTAAAGATAATAAACAAAATCCGCAACTAAACCTGAAAAAAAAAAACTCCATGATGATTATCATAACAAATTCTATATTTTTATTTTAAATAGTTTTACATGGAAGTAATAAAACTGACATTATTAAATATTTCACTGGCAAACCTTGTGATCCCACGTACTTCCGAATAAGTGCTCTACTATCATGAGCAGAAAAACTAGCTACTTGTAATTTCTACAGGTTTTTTTTTTAATTTATTGAGTAATTCTGTGTGGTCATTAATGAGTCAAACCTTTCGAAGATCATCTAGTATAGAAGAGCTGTTTAAATTTAGACCTTTACAGTTTTATTTTGTTCCTCATAAAAATGTACTGAAAGATAGAAAATATTCAAAAGTTAACTGAATTGAACAGGTTACTAATAATATTTTACTATCTGAATATAATATTACCATGAGAAAATACTTTAATATAAAAATTAAACCTTAAAATTTGACTTATAGTGGTGTACTCAAAATAATCAATTTATTAAAATAATCAATTAATTAATTGTTGAATATAAAAATTAAATTTTAAAACTCATCCATATTGGTGTAATCAAAATAATCAATTAATTAATTGTTGAATATAAGTGCGCTCAAAGTAATCAGTGCATTAATCAATTACTTCAACAAATATTTTCAGGAAATCCAATTGGCATCGAATCAAGTCCACAATGATGAAAGAGTGTTATTAACAAGAACTCTCTGTAAGGAAGAGCCGAGATGACCCATATCTCGATCTTTCTGAAATAATTATTCTAAGTATCCTTATAAAATGTTTCTAAAATGGATAATAATAAAACTATTTTATACAATCAACTTCGATAGTTTAAAACTGAATTTGATACCGAAGAAAATATACTGTCTTTTAATTATTTTAACACGATACTCACTAGCGTTTCACAACTTCTGAATTTTGTGTTAAAATTATTGCTGTTTGGGGCGATATCACAAAAGAACGGAGTTATAAGCATTTTTTTAAACCATAGGTAGCCATTCTACACAGAACGGCTAATGAGTATAATGATAAAAAAAATCCAACCTTACACAACAGTAGAAGATACAAATCTCAAGCAATTTCACCAAAAGTCTAATTATTTTAATTTAATGAACCCTGTTTTTCATCGTAATTTATTATAGTCCTAGGGAAGTTATCAATTACTCACCGATCCAAAATAAAACTTAAGAACATCTCTCTTCAGTTGATCGTATACACTCACAAACAGTTCTATATGAATATCTCTCTTCAGTTGATCGTATACACTCACAAACAGTTCTATATGAATATCTCTCTTCAGTTGATCGTATACACTCGCAAACAGTTCTATATGAATATCTCTCTTCAGTTGATCGTATACACTCACAAACAGTTCTACATGAATATCTCTCTTCAGTTGATCGTATACACTCACAAACAGTTCTACATGAATATCTCTCTTCAGTTGATCGTATACACCCACATGTATACGCTCACAGCGATATGTTAATGTCTAGCATAGGTGATCCTTTTTTTTTAATAATAAATATTAAGTGGGGAGAGAAACTTAGGGCTATCATAATCATATATGGTACAGCAACCCCCCCAGCGGCATGTCTGCGGACTTACAACGCTAGAAACCGGGTTTCGATACCCGTGGTGGGCAGAGTACAGATAGTCCATTGTGTAACTTTTTGCTTAATTGACTATAAACATTATAACGTAGCAATCTATTGCGGTTAATGAGTCGTTTTTATATAAATGTTTATCAAAGTGATAAAGCGTGCCTAATGCTTTAAATTCTTACGTTTGAGACGCGCGCGTAAAAAAACAAACAAACTAGAATTTACACATAAGATACACACACATAGATATACAGCTGTATGTCACTATGATCGAAAAATTTTCGATTTTATTAGCGTCGGATTTGGTGAAAAAAAAAAGGTTCGGGCGAATCTGGATAACTCCGGGCAGTTGAAATAAACAAAACAGAAAGACACGACCAAGTAATGTGTCACAACGTACAATATGTGAACAATTATTAGACGAAAATCACATTAAAGTAAATAAAAACGTTCAGTAATATTAGATTTGAGTCGTATTTACGATATAAGTTTCATCATGGGAACCTCGGGTACAGTGGCGCCATCTCGTACATAAATGTGGAAACGAGTCTTTCAATCCGTATATTTGGTTAGCTACTAGTATTTCATGTGTGTGTCTCATTTAAAAAGAAGTTTCTTGGCATTCATCACTTACGACCAAACAAGTTTTGATGGCAAATACTCATTATCATTAGAAATAACATGGGTGTTTGTTTGTTTTTTAAACATCCTTTTACATTAAGACTAATATGATTATTTTTTCTTGTGAACTTCTTTAAACATATAACCTCACCATTAGGACTAATATGGCCGCTTTTCCCTTGTTTTAATTTTAAAAGTTCAGATAGTCAAAACTGAAAACTAAATTAATTTTTCTGTAGTTCCACAAATCTAAATTGTTTTCGTTTTAAAATTGAATATAATACACGAAAACAGTAAACACTAACTGAAAACTAAATTAATTTTTTTGTAGTTCCACAAATCTAAATTATTTTCGTTTTAACATTGAATATAATACACGAAAACAGTAAACACTAAATGAAAATTAAATTTCTTCAATTGAGATGATGGAATTTAAAAAGACGTCAAATATTCACACGCACAAAAGAACTTAAAACTTCAGTTATTATATCTCTGCGTCATTACAAAATAATGCTAAAATTTAAGATTACCAAACGTGCTTTAAACTCTTGAGTATTTCAAAGTATTGATTTATAATAAATAAGTAAATTAATAACAAATAAAGTGTGAAACACGTGATACAACCGTTGTAATAATTCTTTCCATTCGATTTATAAGTTTCGGAATTTTTTATTATCTTAAGTTTTTAAATAAAATATTAAAGTTTACACTAATACAATCGTTTTGAATTTAATTACTGATTAAATATTATTATATATTAAAGCTTTAATAGTAAGAAGGTTTGTTTTTAGAACAGGTAAGCCGTTTGGATCACTAGTGCGATCAATCTCAAATACACGAGTTTTAACGATAAAAAAACTTACTGTAAGACCTGTAACTTCTAATATTAACACAATGTTTTTTGTATGTTTACTTTAGTAAAAACATACAGAATATGTCAGTTAACCACCAGTAACAACATACAGAATATGTCATTTAACCACCAGTACTTTAGTAACAACATACAAAATATGTCATTTAACCACCATTACTTTAGTAACAACATACAGAACATGCCAGTTAACCACCATTACTTTAGTAACAACATACAGAATATGTCAGTTAACCACCATTACTTTAGTAACAACATACAGAACATGCCAGTTAACCACCATTACTTTAGTAACAACATACAGAACATGCCAGTTAACCACCAGTACTTTAGTAACAACATACAGAATATGTCAGTTAACCACCATTACTTTAGTAACAACATACAGAATATGTCAGTTAACCACCAGTACTTTAGTATCAACATACAGAATGTCATTTAACCACCAGTACTTTAGTAACAACATACCAGAATATGTCAGTTAACCACCAGTAACAACATACAGAATATGTCAGTTAACCACCATTACTTTAGTAACAACATACATAATATGTCAGTTAACCACCATTACTTTGGTAACAACATACAGAATATGTCAGTTAACCACCAGTACTTTAGTAACAACGAACAAATCATCACAGTTAACCTCAAGTACTGTTACCTTAGCTGAAATAACTTTCGAACAAAAACACAATAGATGTAACAGAAAAATAAATATTCTGTGGTGATTTAACAATGAAAAGAACATACAACAAACAGTGCACAAAAAAACACGTTTAAATCTAATTGAGAATATGTCACAAGGCTTAGCTATAACATTTATCATTACAATTGAAGTGGGACATAAAAATAGATTGTGTGTGTGTGTAAGTAGACTACAAACATCTAAAAAAGGTAATTATGATGGATTCAAAGTCGGTGTAATATAAAACAGCTACGATAAACAGGAACACTCACAACAAAAGTACATCATGAAATCTAATTCCAACCGAACGTTGGACGTTTATTGAACGGTTTCAACATACTGATGGAGTTTTATAAAACACCCTAGCGTTAATTACTGATTAAATAACATTAAAACTAGTATTTATTTTCCGCAAGTAAATTATTTATATACTACCACCAAAGCTTTGACGTGCTTCCCCTAATTTTTTATACCTTCAAATAACGTTATGTTACGACAGCGGGGGTTACGTGACGCTAGTATCACGTCATATTCTCGAAGGTTTATGAATCCTCGAGTGTTTACTAGATGTACGGTATTCTTGAATATAAGACGCGCCAAGAAATGACGGCAACAATGTAATTGAACTGCAGACAGAGATAGAGACGGACAGTTGAGTCGAGCACGTGAGTCGTTCGTTGTGAATTATAGCGTGATTGTGGAAATTAAGTGTATTGCAAAGTTATATTCAGAAATAATAAACCAGTTTTATTTAAGAAAGGACTTGTGTCGCTAAAGTTTCTTCTGAAAGAATTTTTACGGAAAATTAACTAACGACCAGAGACGTAACGGTTACTTATAGCTTACGTTTTTCCAATATTTCAAATACAATTTGAAATGTTTCATTTATTTAACTTGAAATATCTTGCTTTCTGCTTATAACAATTAGCAACAGCTTACAAACGTTGAATAAAGAAATCCTTCAGAAACGATAGTTTTCTAAGGTACGGATTTCAACAGTTTATGTATAACTCTAGATCAATGTTAGATTTTTAATATATTGATGATCCAAGTGACTACTAATGAAGAAAAGCTCATAAAAGAATCGATTGACTTACACTACTTTGATCCTATTTCATCACGAAAGGGATCATTACTTATTAGTTAAGCCTTTTAGTGCAAACTGGAGAGTTGTATTCATTGTTAAAAAGATAAATAAAATACGAACTATTACTCCAGAAAACATTATTTATTTATTTCAGCCAACGTTTCGCCATTACGTCTTCGTCGGGACTAGTAGTACAAGAACTGTATTAGGTTTATGTACTACTAGCCCTGATGAAGCCGCAATGGCGAAACGTTGGCTGAAATAAATAAATTATTTTTATTTGGAGATTAAAGATAGATTTTTCTAACTTTATTATCAAAACGTCTAAATCCCTCTAGCATGCACCACAGATCCTGAAAAACAAAAACATAATATTTGTTGTAGACACATGATAAGGTTTAATATATAGTTAAATAAAGTCTTAGAGTTTCAACTGGATCAGAGAACTTGTTGGTTATCGATCACTTCTGACGAAGCTGTAATAGTAAAATAATGAGATAATATATATATATTCTAAAGATATGGGTCAACATTTTATTTACATTAATAGAAATGCCTGGTAATAAACTCCAGTTTACGTTAAACAGGGTTAAAAACATAGTTTATAAACTTCGATAAAGGCCTACAAATATAGATAATACATGTTTGAATAATTAGATAATTAAACAACGTTCTCTTCTTTCTCCCTTTCTGGATTTGTGGTGTTGTTTTGGTCTGAGAAAACAAACACTTCGGACACAACAGTCTTGAATTCTCCTTCGGAAGTCGAACGGTTAAAACATGATACAATTGAAGTTCTCTGGTTACGAGGCTTTGAACATAAAAGTCGGTAGTATGCCTGACGGTAATGGCGGTTGAGGCCTACATAGATGAATGGATTAATACATGATGACATCCACGCTAAAACAGAAGCCACGACGTGAATGGTGGGAAACCTGGAAGCAACCCTTATCATGAAGATATTTTACCATTATCTATTCTCAGTGTTTAAACATAAATCTAATTTTTTAAAGGAAAATTAGCATTGGTTCTAGACTACTTTGTACAGAATTTACCTAAACCCCAGAACAATATTTTAAACTTCATAAATGAAAAAAAAAAATTGTAACGTTGCGGAGTTATGTTACGGCAATTACACCGCTAGATGGCTTACTTTTATGATACGAAGTAATTGTAGTTAAATGCATAGGCAATAAAGATACAGAAATTAAATGAACAGGTTACAAAATCGTCTGGTTTTATATATTGTTACGACAGCGAAGGTCACGTGACGCTAGTAACACGCCACGCGCTTCTAGAACGTTCATGAAGCGTCGGAAGACTACTAGATATGGGGTAGTCTTGTATATATATAAGACCGGCCAAGAAGCGACGGAAACAATGTGTAATTGAACTGCGGACAGAGTATTGTTGAGTCGAGCACGTGAGACGTTCGTTGTGAATTATGGTGTTTGTTATAGCGCGACTGTTGAAATTAAGTGTATCGCAAAGTTGTATTCAGAAAGAATAAACCAGTTTTATTTAAGAAAGGACTTGTATCGATAAAGTTTCTTCGGAAAGCATTTTTACGGAAAATCAACTAACGACCAGAGACGTAACAATAATTTTATTTCTGGAAGATGACGTTTCGAAGAGCTTGGCTCGAAACTTCATCTTCCAGATATATATATATATTGCGATTTTGTAACAGATTCTTTATTTTCTTACTTGTATAATATAATTTAAGCAACTCCTAGTGATAAACATAGTAACAAAAATTTGATGACGTGGAATCTACTTTTTTAGAAAATAAAAAGTTTTGAGGCGGCTTTAAGAAGTAATGAAGAAAACGGATTACATAATTTTGTCGAAAAGTTTCTTCATTACCCATTCAAGCCGCTTCCGGCGAAGTATGATTATTATTAATTATACATATCATTAGATATGTATTAGGTCTGTTGTATTTTTAACACTAAATTCTTTATTGAGTCCTTTAGGGATTTTCAAGTACGACACATTTCGCTCAATGCATAACTCATCAGGCTAAATGGGACACAACAAACCTAGTAATGGTCGAAACACTGTCTATACAAGCGACGACTCTTCTTCTTGAAAAATCATAAAGAATGCTGTGCCAAAAAATAATAATATTCGGGCCAAAGTCACCATTCCTTGCCGTGATTATGTTATCGGTGAGATTTACCCGAATAATTTTATTTAGAGATTTTGAAATACGGCAAGTAAATTTATTTAGGTTAGCAAGGATATCCTGTAATTTATTTTTTGCATCTAAATCACAATATAGACGTACTGCATCATTTCTAAATTCTATACGGAACCAGTAGGCATTGTCGAATTTACTCCGAAAAATTTATACAATAATCAAAAGTTCATGGAATGGGATTGAAATACTCTTACGTAGGGAACTTTTTTTTTTTCGTGCGCGTGCGCATGAACTGCGTTCGTGTTAAGTTAGAAGTCACCTGATTCTAGGCGTAGCTGAAACTATGATAATTTTGGGATAAAGGATACATGGAAAGCTGATTGTACTCCCGCAAGTTATTTTGTTAAACGTGCAACAAGTACGTTATTAACTATAATTACTTGTATTTCACCAATAAAAATGTTAACTGAATATTTTTCAGTCTGTGACTCGCCTGCCAGTTTCAAGGTTATCCGGAATTAAACAACAATTTTGATGTGACGTACCTGAATTTGCTGTCGAAAACATTGACGATCATCAGCGGAAGGAAACAAAGAATAAAAGAACAGAAAATAATTATGATCATGCGGTTGAGACGGGATTCGTCTTTTCGTTGAGTCGTTTGTTTAGCGAGCGGATCTGGCGTTCTTAGGTTGACCTGGGTGTGGGCCACAACATTCCGCCTACTGTTTCGTACCTGAGAAAAATGAGATTTATTTCCATTAAATGAAACCATACAAGGCAAACAGGCGCAGAAATTAAGAAAGAAAATGCAATGACAGATTGCTTTTTGTGTGTGTGTGTGTGTATTGTTGCGTCAGCGAAGTCATGTGACTAGTGTCACGCCACTCCTTCTCTCGAACCTTCGGGAATTATCGGGAGATTACTAGATATAGGGTAGTCTGGTATATATATATGATGGTCACGGCGTGACGTGACAATGTGTGTAGGTAATGAGTAATTGAACTGCAGTCAGAGAGAGACGTATTGTTGAAGTCGAGCTCGTGAGACGTGAATTATAGTTTGTTATAGCGCGACTGTTGAAGTTGAGTGTATCGTAAAGTTGTAGTCGGAAAGAATAAACCAGTTTTATTTAAGAGAGGACTTGTGTCGCTAAAGTTTCGTCGGAACGAATTTAGGGAAAATCAATTAACAAACGGAGACGTAACAATATGAATGTCGGATATTAAAACTTTGGCCTAGTATTTCTTTAACGTTCTTATATTCTCATGTACTGACACAAATACACAAAACTCTTTCATGTCACAGCTAATTCTTCAAACAAAACCAAAAAAAAATTACCTTCCAAATAATGGAGGCGTGAGATAAGACGATCACGACGCAGGGTATCAAAAAACCGACAACGAATAAAAACTTCTTGGGAGACCGACCGTTCCGCATCAGGATGGTACAAGAAAATGTCGCCTTGTCTAGTCCGAATTCTCCCCAGGCCCTTGTTAAGGTAGGCACCAACAGCGCAAAGCTGAACACCCAACAGAAGATGATCATCAAAACTACGAAACGCTTCTTGTATATTTTACCGTACAGGTGGTGGTAGTTAAATATGACGAATCTGCTCGTGAAAAAAATGATAGTATCTCACACATTGTTGTAGCCATTACAGAAACACTTTAACGATTCGCATCTTCTTTGTTATTAATAACAAAGGCGTTTGAACAAAACAAAGAACGTGATTTGCATAAGTAAATATACAGAGATTACAGATTTATGTTTATATTCAAGGTTACAGTTACTCGTTCTTTGTCTTTGAAGAGGTTGGACATTTAAAATTACACAATACAATCTTACAAAGACCGGGGAATTCCAGAGTTCGTTACTTGAGTGAACAAACCAATCGGAGTTCGTTACTTGAGTGAACAAACCAATCAGAGTTCGTTACTTGAGTGAACAAACCAATCAGAGTTCGTTACTTGAGTGAACAAACCAATCAGAGTTCGTTACTTGAGTCAACAAACCAATCAGAGTTCGTTACTTGAGTGAACAAACCAATCAGAGTTCGTTACTTGAGTGAACAAACCAATCAACTTACAAAGATCCAACATAAATTATTCAAAATTACGATTATCGATGTGCTACAACAGAAACTAAAAACATATAGGTCCTTTTTTCCCCTGTCTAATAGTCCCCCCGGTGAAACAGCGGTAAATCTACGGATTTACAACGCTAAAATCCGGTGTTCGATTCCTTCTAAACCTTCAGTCACAGAAGTATAGTAACCACTAACAGGAGGCATCCACCATCTTAACCTTCAGTCACAGAAGTATAGTAACCACTAACAGGAAGAACCCATCATCTTAACCTTCAGTCACAGAAGTATAGTAACCACTAACAGGAGGCATCCACCATCTCGACCTTCGTCCAAAGAGGTATAGTAACCACTAACAGGAAGAACCCATCATCTTAAACTTCAGTCACAGAAGTATAGTAACCACTAACAGGAGGCATCCACCATCTTAACCTTCAGTCACAGAAGTATAGTAACCACTAACAGGAAGAACCCATCATCTTAACTTTCAGTCACAGAAGTATAGTAACCACTAACAGGAGGCATCCACCACCTCGACCTTCGTCCAAAGAGGTATAGTAACCATCTGTCAGCTTTTCTAATATTTAATAAAGTTATAAAGTCTTCCCAACAATTAAAGTATGAAATTCCCATGTAATTTATATTCAGAAACGTGGTTATTTTTTAAGTGCAAAACTACACAATGGACTGTATGTACTCTGTCAATCGCAAGGAACTGAACCCAAGATTTTAGCATTGTAAGTCTACCCCGACCCAGGGAATCTTGTTTAACAAGGCTTTGAAGAGAAAATCAAAGTTCAAAACACTTGGTGGCTCTTTTACTCGCCTATTAGTTTCAAGTCACACACACACAGAGACGTACCTGTTTACTGTAATCAAAGTCATGGACATCAAGGAGGCGCCAACATTTCCATAGAAGAAAAATGGAAATAAGGAACACGCTGTGTCTCCTAGCAACCAAGCCTGGTGGATGTATCTTGATGCAGTTAAGGGTAGGTTGATGGTGCAGAATAGGAAGTCTGATGTACAAAGACTGATCACAAATGCTGTGGTGGCGTTTCGAAGCATCGTGCACCGACAGAGGGCGAGGATTGTTATAAAGTTGCCTAGAAACCCAATAACGATAAATATGATACAGCAAGCAGCAGCAAATATTGTTGCATCTCGAGGGTATTGGATGATGTCATCAAGGACTGTAGTTTTATTCATGTCCATCGGCAGAGCTTAAAGTGAGAGACTTGTGGTTCGAATCCCCACCTCACGCGTCTGTTGGTTCTCACGCCGACAGGCCATTCCTGAAACGTAATACAATAAAAATAATTAATTAGAACCTTAAGGAATATTACAAGTTTCTAAAGTCAAAGTGCAAATCGAATAAATGACAAAAAATTTAGTAATAAATGCTGAATAACCCAATCGTGAAATTATCACCAAGAAACACATAGAAATGGTTACATCTGAACTCTTGTTGTGTGGCTCCATTTCATTCATCATCATTGATAAATTATCATCAAGAAACACACAGAAATGGTTACATCTGAACTCTTGTTGTGTGGCTATTTCTATGTGTTTCTTGAAGATGATTTATCAATGATGATGAATGAAATGGAGCCACACAACAAGAGTTCAGATGTAACCATTTCTATGTGTTTCTTGAAGATGATTTATCAATGATGATGAATGAAATGGGGTTACATCTGAACTTATGTTGTGTGGCTCCATTTCATTCATCATCATTGATAAATCATCTTCAAGAAACACACAGAAATGGTTACATCTGAACTATTGTTGTGTGGCTCCATTTCATTCATCATCATTGATAAATCATCTTCAAGAAACACATACAAATGGTTACATCTGAACTTATGTTGTGTGGCTCCATTTCATTCATCATCATTGATAAATCATCTTCAAGAAACACACAGAAATGGTTACATCTGAACTCTTGTTGTGTGGTTACATTTCATTCATCATCATTGATAGTTTAGTTCGTTCATCATTATATGAAAGTTGCACCAGCACTTTGCACGTTCGAAAGCTACAACGCCCTCTATAGAGGAAGGCGATACTTGCTTACATATATAACTAAAATAATGGTTGAGGAAAGTAATACCTAAGTGTTTCACAAAAAAAAAAAAGAAGATGAAAACGATACCTGCTTTTTCACGGATCGTAACACTAAAACTGCTCTGTTTGGATAAAGGAAAGCTTGAGATAAGGGCCAACTCTTAAATTTCTATTCCGTTTGTACATGCAAAAGCAATAAATTATTCCAGTAGGTGGCGCTGATCACAAAATATGCCGGCTTTAACTGACGACTTTTATTTAATTCTGAAAATCATTATCAGTTTTTGTCACTAAATACACATTGCACTTTTCTTTTAGCCTAATAACGTGACATTCACACACGTTAGGATCATCCAGTGGCATAGCGGTAAATCTGCGGACGTACAACGCTAAAAACCAGGGTTCGATACCTACCAGTGGTAAACACAGCACAGATAGACCATTGTGTAGCTTTGCGCTTAACTACAAACACACGTGAAGTTAGGGAGAAAATAATGACGTAAGAGTTACTTTAAATCAATTCATACTTGTCAAGTTTTTTGTTTCAACCTAATATGAAAGAATTCATCTTTTCACAATTAAGAAGTTTTTAAATTATCTTAGGATATTAATTACGTCGCCACCTACTCGTGTGAATTTTATTTGCTTTTTTTTTTATTTTTACCGGTTAAGCAACTTACGTAATGACGTCATGGACCATTGAAACTCACGAGGCGAAACTTTTTCGCTGTAACTAAAGTTACCCACAGCTGCTAGCTTATCACTTCCATATTTGTACTGACTACATAACCTAAAGTGTTTATTGTAATATTGTTGACTGCTGACGTAACTAGATGCAGGTTGTATTAAAGCCGCCAGACGACAGTAATAATAATAATAATATCCGAGGTAATACGCGGTTATCTTTATCGTGTTGTTTAAACAATAAAATATTCATTCCATTATCTGAAACAAACTCTTTGTACCCCAAAATGTTAAAATCCGGAGTTCGATTCTTCGAGATGGACAGAGCGCAGATAGCCTGTTATGTAGCTTTGGACTAAAGCAGACTCACATAAGCAGTGGTGGTTTTTATGAGATCTTGGGCCTTAGGCAAGTATTCCGTACGGGGGGCCATACAACGCCCCATACCCTAGCGTTAATAATGCTTACAGCACGTGGTGAAAGAATTATTACCCATAGGCCATGGCGAACTGGCGATTAGCTAGCACGAACCCAGATGGGTCTCTAGCCTAGGCCTAGAGTCGTCACTGTATACGGGGTAACTATGTGGGCCTTTTCCAGGACCCGGGAAATTTCCCCGGCCTCTCGATGGGCCTGCACAGATATGATAATGGAAGTGGTTAGCGAACACTGCCGGTTTAAATTCCTAAAGAAAACTTTATATTTCAACCTCACGATTAAGAAACTTGAAATACTAATAAAAACATTTATATCCAGAAAAGGTTTATACAAGCAGCTTTTTTGTACATTTGTTTTAATTTTAGTTTACGACTTCTTTTATCCGGAGACTGACGTAGCCTAGTGGTTAGCACGTCAGGCTGCGTATCCGTAGGACCAAAACGTTGGAGCTCGTGACATGTTACTTAACACGTTTCGCGCTTTCAACTGTGAGGCGTTATGACCGTGACAGTCATCTCGGTATTCAGTTTAGAGTAACCGCATAAAGGCGGCGGATGCTATTGACTGGTTGTCATTTCTCTGGTAAGGGGTTTCGATATGGCCGTGTAGCCATACAAAAAGTACCGATTAGCTAGTGTATATCAGTATCTGTTCGCTAGCTAGTGAATATCAGTATCTGTTCGCTAGCTGGTGAATATCAATATCTGTTCGCTAGCTGGTGAATATCAATATCTGTTCGCTAGCTGGTGAATATCAATATCTGTTCGCTAGCTGGTGAATATCAATATCTGTTCGCTAGCTGGTGAATATCAATATCTGTTCACTAGCTCCTCGTTCTTTGTTTGTCTCGCAAAATTATGCACGCGAGTTGCTACATATTACAAATAACAACAAGAAGAAAACAAAAACCTGCACGTTTTCATATACACATGAAGTTGCGATTTTCTTCAGTGCTAACAATTAGAGCTCAAAACAAAATACTTAGGCCGCATGGCCTGGTGGTTAGGGGGCACTCGACTCTCAACCTATCGTTGGCGAGTTCCAATCCCCGTCACAAAATACTTAGACCAGCATGGCCTGGTGGTTAGGAGGCACTCGACTCTCAACCTATCGGTCGCGAGTTCCAATCCCCGTCACAAAATACTTAGACCAGCATGGCCTGGTGGTTAGGAGGCACTCGACTCTCAACCTATCTCGCGAGTTCCAATCCCCGTCACAAAATACTTAGACC